TGTACTTTGACCGAAACATGATTGCCAGATCAAAATGGAATTGATAGAAACTACAAGACACAGCTTTTACAGCATACCTCTAACATTCACCAACACCTCCACCATACGCGGCTATCACCCAGTCGTCTCCTTCTAGTGAAGAAGTGGACGCCCGACAACTTCATCTCAGTCGTTATCAGCGAGGTCTCTATTTGCGCGATTCGTACAACACCTCGGCCAAGACCCCTCGCCACCGACGTCTTTCCTATCAACGGCCGTTCATTTCATGGAAGCACCTCGACGGACCTTTCAACGTAGCAGCAAGACGAAACCTTTTTCTCCACGCTTGTGACGTCAAACATCCCTATTCGAGAGGACCCCCTTTGCCAGTGAAATTGAGCAGCAGCAAAGCATTTCTTGCATGAGGAGCCGGGGGTCGTTGCCTATCAGAGGAGCAGCAGCGGTGTAAGAAAGTTCAGCGGCACCCTGTCGGCCCTTCGGTTAGCGGCCCAAACAGTAGCGGCAGCCATTTGAGGCTTTATCAAGCAGCCGGAGACCTCGTATCAGCGGCAAATCTGCTTTCTTTTCAGGGAACAACCCCGGTTCTTGAGCGTTCAGCCGATAACTTCTTCTCGACGACTCTGAGCTGCAGCCGGCAGTCTTTAGCGAGCAACCCCAGGTTCGCGTGTGTGTAGCAGCGTGTTGAACGAGTACCCGAGGCCCATTTCATCCGATATCCTTATTCGTTCTCATTTAGTTTCTCGAAGGAGGTATAAGTCTTAACCTCCCTCGTTTATTTTATGTGATGAATTGAAGGATTAGATGAGAATTAAGGTTCACGATCATGAGTTTCATTAAATTGAGTATAGCAGCATGTTATTTGATGTTATTGAGTCGATGTTGGAATCTCGAATTGGACGTGTATTAGACCTCTAATTTTGATGCTTAAATGCCTTGATTTATCATGTCTAAGCCTTGAGTCTTATTTGGATAATACATGCTGGAATCAGTGTCATTACCTGTCCTTATATTTCAGTTAAATCGGCATTGGCATGTGGTTTAATATGTTAGAAAGAAGCAAATTAAAGTTTTATCTTGTCTTTGTATGCTTGTCTAGTTAATTGATTTCTGATCCTTTATGTGTATTTTTGAACTGTTATGGTGTGTAATTTTATGAGCTTGAGTTGCTGTTGTTATGTGCTATATTTATCACGTTGATATTATGTGTGTATCATTGATGTTGTTATGAGTATTTATTTGAGATTAATATTTTGTTCTCTTTTAGTGGTCCTTATGTGTTAACTCAATTTGAAATTTTGTGCCCAAGGAAAGAAGATATAACAGACATGAATAATATGCTTTCATACTGTGACCTCGTGAGAAAAGGAAACCTCCGTATAGTTGTTTCATTGTTTTTATTATTTCTCTTTTAGGTGATCTAATAATTTTTGTCGTGACCTGAATTCTGGAAAAATTTAAATTGGTATGTGTTAGTTTTATGTGCAGCTTGGGCCTATATATATATATATTGTTGAATGTTAATGATTTGAGAAGCATACTGAGTTGTGTATTTCTAGGCCCTACTATCAGTTCTAAAGCTTTATGTGTATTGTTTAAATAATTGAGATGCTATAGGTATTAATTCTTGTATCAATCATGATAAGTTGCTGCCAACATGCATTTTGAGGTTAGAATATTGATTGAGGTATTTCACTTTGAATTGTGAGTTTCAGTACACTTTGAAGTGCACCAATGAGTCGGTTTCAGCCATCTATAAATGATAATTTTCCTTTGTCTAGAAAGAAGTTATATTGTTTATGTGATATTTATCTGGTTATATTTTGACTGGCTTATATGATTTTATCTGATGTACGTGTCATTCGTGATTAGATTTTAGACTTTAAAGAGGATTTTCGAGATCCTTATTTTTTTTATAAGTCCGAGTCGAGAGTTCCAACATCTAAGAAATAGAAGAGAAGATCTTATAAATCATGAACCTTAAGCTTTGAAATCCTTAAAATTGGTAAAGTAGTTTACCGAGTTAAGAGTTAGTTGTTTAGCCAAATATTGCTTATTTTATGTAGATTCTGAGGAGTCGGGCCCTCGAGTTTTCACATGAGCGACGACTCTCAGTTTCAGTTCAGAATATCCAGGTGGGTTTTTATTTTATTTAAAATGCTATGCCGTAAATGTTATTTATGTTTTTGTTGAAATTGGTATGGTCAATGTATGTAAGTGAACCATGTAGCCTATCGATGTGAGCTGTTACGGCCGTCGGTACGGTTGTCCCCGTCGATGTAGTACGGTGCCCTTGTGTGGCAATCTCCTTAAGACCTAATGAAAGGCCATATCGGACTAAGTCACATGGCGTGCCTTCGATATGCGTGTCAAACTAAGTCACATGGCGTGCTTTCGACATGTACTCCTACTGTCTGGTTGACGAGCTAAGTCACATGGCGTGCCCTCGAACAGGCCAGCGGTAGTCTAATGATAGGTGTGTACACATGAGTGAGGTTATTGGTGTATTGATTGAAGATATGACATGATGAGTTAATTTATGATCATGTTGTGACCATACCCTTGCTATATTATGTTGTTATTTACGTGCATAGTGGTGAGCACAACAGTTCATCGTGCTCACTCCCACCTGCTCTTCATTGATGCAGGTTAAGTAGGTGCCGGCTGACGAGACAAAAGACGAGTGGTGTAGGTCTTTGACTGACTTCATTTAGTTTATTTTGCATGCTAGTAGACCTGGATTTATTTATGCTTATTTATGACTTTTGAATTTTTGAGAACTTTGAATTGGGAGATGTTCCCTTATGAATAAGTTGGATGAACTTGGGATTTATGAAAACATTGGATTTACGATTTATGATTTATGCAAGTATGATTTACGTTATTTATGTGATTTAGTTCGAGTAGCGCCACTGATTTATGAAATTTTTTTTTTTTTTGAAAATTTTAAGTTGACTTTTGAAAAGCC